TTGAGCTTGGTAAATTGAACTGAGCTGATTTTGGCACTTGAGCTCCCAGTTTTGCTGCTGGCTTGGGAAGGAGAGTCCCAGGTTCATCCTGGAGCAAAGGGAACGGGCCTCAGGACATCCCCAGCCCTCCTCAGAGCCATGAGTGTGGTGTGAGGTGGCCCTGAGCCGTGCCCTTGCTGTCGTGCAGATGTGTTGGTGTGGACCAATGACCAGGTCATTCACTGGATCCAGTCCATCGGACTGCGCGAGTACGGGAACAACCTGGTGGAGAGTGGTGTGCACGGGGCCCTGCTGGCCCTCGACGAAAACTTTGACCACAACAGCCTGGCCCTTGTGCTGCAGATCCCCACACAGAACACCCAGGTAGGAGCAGCCTCCTTGGGGAATTTTGGAGGAGAGTGGGCCAGTGTGGGACAAGGCTGTGGTGTGACCACATCTGTGTCACTAACTCAGCTCTATCTTTAAAAGCAGAGCTTTCCTATGGCATGGGGGCTCTTTCTGTCACACTCAGGCTTTCCTAGAATGAAATTTTGGGCTGGAAGCACATTCCCCATTGATGAGGGATCATAATTTTTTTGGTTAATTGCAGGCTCGACAAGTGCTGGAGAGGGAGTTCAACAACCTGCTCGCCTTGGGCACAGACCGGAGGCTGGATGATGTGAGTGCCAAACCTCTTCATGTCCTGTGTGACTGGGGAAGGACATGGGGGTGTTGATGGATGAGAAGCTCAACGTGCCCCGGCCCTGTGCTCGGGCAGCCCAGAACCCCCCCTGTGCTGGGCTGATCCCCCAGCGTGGGCAGCAGGGCAGGGGGGGATTCTGCCCCTGTGCTCAGGTGAGAGCCCACCTGCAGAGCCGCCTCCAGCCCCGAACTCCAATATCAGAAGGACATGGAGCTGCTGAAGCGATTTCAGAGGAAGTGCTCTGAGGGCTGGAGCTCTGCCATGAGTCCAGCATCCCTTGGAGTCTTTACTGGGACTTTTGTGTTGGTGTCTCCAAGGCATCTTTGCAGGCAGGCTGCAAAGATGATCTGTCTCTTCTCTACAGGCTGCTGTAGAGAAGAGGCAGATGAGCTGGAAAGGATAAAGCCAATGCCATGGGATCCCAGCAAGATGTCCTGTGTCCTTGGCCGAGTTTGATCCCATGCTTTTCTAGAGCTGGTCACCAAGGACAGGCATGCCCTTGTTAGCTGGTGTCTCACAGGGCCGGGAGGTGCTGCTGGCACTGACCCTGGGCCCGTCACACGCTGCTCCTTGCAGGGCGATGACAAAACCTTCCGTCGGACGCCGTCCTGGCGCAAGCGCTTCCGCCCACGGGACGTGCACAGCATCAACCTCCTCAGCGGCTCTGCTGAGACCCTTCCCGCCGGCTTCCGTGTCACCAGCCTCGTGCCACTGCCCCCTCCAGCTGCTCCAGCCAAGAAAATGCCCCCGGAAGGTGGGTCAGCCCTTCTCCAAAGGGTCCTCTCCTGCTCCTGCTTAGAGTCTTAGGGAATGTGTGGAAGGATGTGCTACCAGGAAAGGAAAGGGATGGGGGAGAGGGAGAAGAAGAAGAAGAAGAAGAAGAAGAAGAAGAAGAAGAAGAAGAAGCAAGAGGAAGAGGAGGAGAAGGGGAAGGGGAAGAGGGAGAGGGAGAGGGAGAGGGAGAGGGAGAGGGAGAAGCTTGCTGGTCATCCAAGATGCTCAATCCATATGATCCTGGAACTGTGTCCTGGTGGAAATTTTTTTTGTGGAAGTATTACTTCAGATCTTTGTGTGAGCTCTTGGTTATGAACTACAAGACCCAGTTAGGGACCAGGATTGGGGCATGAAGTGTCATATGTCACCCAGGGGCTGCCAGGATGCTGCAGTCCAGTTTGCTCCATTCTGCCTTTTGGGAACCACCCCCAAAGGGATGTATTAACAGGTTCCAGTTGCCTGAGCTCTCCCAGGGCTGTCAGGACCTTCTGGGACACCCTGCCTGCCCATGCTGCTGGCTGTCCTGGTTTATGTCCCAGGATCTACCCCACCACACAACTCCTTTCTTCAAGGTGTCTTGATCCCTTCCAAAGCTGTAGGGAGGCAGAAGCTCCAGCCAGATCACCCTGATTTGTCCCCTGGACCAGGCAACCTGGTCCCACTATCCCAAGGCAGCAGCTGCTCCCACTGGAGCAAAGCTGGCTTCAGCAGGCTCAGAAATGAGGGTGGGAATGAGAATTAAAAAACTACGTACTTATCTTCCAACTCCAAACTTCAGGCTCAGCTTTTCCCCTGCCTCCAATTTTGCTCAGATGTCGCAGCTTTGCATCCAGCACTTTGGGTCAAACTTCTGTTTGGCTTTTCCACCCCATTCCTGGGAGCTGCAGTTCCCACCTGGCTGAAGACAGTGAAACCTGGGACAGAATCCCATGCAGACGGGGAGCAGGGTGCTTGCTGCCCAGCAGCGGGGATGGCAAGTGGCAATTTCCCAAATACCCTGGAGCCTCAGGAGCATCTGAGCTGGTCAAACGTGGCTCTTCCTCTGACCCTCTCCATGTAGCTGCAGTGTACAGTTGCTGCTCAATAAACACAGGATTTGGGGAAGCTGGGGGCTAATTGGAGCAGTTACTAATTGCTTTGCTCTTTGGTTCCCTTCCAGTCAATGCCTCCGGGTCCCCAAGGCTGGAGACCTCCACGGTCCGGACGTACTCGTGCTGAGGATCAGCGAGATGGGAGCCAGGGCCTGGGTGAGTGCGAGGCCCCGGAGCTGGCTGGGGACCAAGGGCAGAGCAGGAGCCCCAGCAGCACCCAGGCAGGGGGCTGCCCTCACCAAGGTTTGCCTGGCCATGGTGAGCCAGGGAGACCACGGTGGTGGGGGAGCAGCTGCTGCCCCAGGCCCACAGAGATGATGCAGGAGGGATTCTCAGCATCCCACCACATGCGGTTTGTTCACTCTTGGACAGCCCTGCTGGGGACCCCAGGATGCCATTCCCACTTGAGCGAGGGAAGGATAGTCAAGCACTTCAGGGAGGCTCCTGCTGTGCCTTGGGCCATGATTGCCCTATGCCAGGAGGATCCAGTGCTGATTCCATCTGGGTTTGTTGGCCAGCGGGTGCACGGGTGGAGCTGAGCCGGCATCCTCACAGGGCCTTTCCCACTTTGCTCCTCAGCAAATCCCAATGTCTGTACACCACGTGCTGGCTGCCTTCCAGGACAAGAGCCCAGCCTGTGCCTGTTCCTCGGCCCCGACCCACAGACTGTCACTGCTGTGGACTGACAAGATCTGTCCCTCCTGCTCATGCACTCCCTGCTTCCCCCGGCTCCTGTGGCTCCTGCCGTGGCCCATCCCCCACTTCTCCTGCGCTGGCTGGGCCATGGATGTGCTCCGGATGCTGTCCTGGCATCGTGCAGTCTGGGGAGCAGCACAGACAACCCCAAAGTGTCTGCGATGTTTGGAAGCCTCTCTCCTGCCTGGTTCATGTTGCCAATCTGCCACGAGGCTGCACTCACTCGCCTGAGCCCTGGCCATCAGGGATGCTGCTGCCCACAGAACTTGAAGCCAAGGAATATTCAGGCTCATGAAAATCCTCCCTTCAGGGTGGCTGGGCAAGGAGCTGCCCTTGGGGAGGCTGGGGCAGTGCCAGGGCTGGTGCTGGGTGGGATGAAGGGGGCCCAGCATGAGGTGAGGAGGGCGGTGTCTGCCCAGGGCTGGATGGGCCAGGTGCTGATTTTGGTGCTGTCAGGTGCCCTGTTCAGGGGGGCTGTGCCTGGGACCGCCCCACATGGCTCATGGGGACGGTGTCTGGCACCCACAGGAGAGGGGACCCTCCTTGGGTGCCTGGGGAGACAACGGGAGCCCACTCCACCCCTGGGATGTGCCCACCCTTCCTCTCTGGGTGCAGAGGAGATGCTCTCCCCTCCTGCCTCCTGGCAGGGGTCAATTCCCATTTCTTCCATAGGGTAGGATCTCTTTGTCTCCTCATGCCACGTTTGCCTTGTGTGGCCCCTATTTCTGATGTGATATTTATTGATGGCTGGAATGACCTTATACTTATAATGTGCTGTCTGGAAGTGCAATATCTGAGAGACTCTACAGTCACAACGTCTTTTCGGTGTATCATTTGCCTAATACAGTACTAAATATTTTTTTAATTTGAAGAGTCAGTGAGCCCTTTATATCGATGCCCTATTTCTTTCGTCATATTACTGGTACTGCATGGACTCCAAACCCTGGATCGGGTCAGGAAAGGATGTATGTGTGTTCCAATAAACAGGATTTTAAAACAATGCTGGCTTTGACCTTTCTTTGCAGAGCCCAAATTAAAAATATCATTAATCTCTAGTTCCCTCAAGATCTTTGGGGTGCAAGGCTGAACCCCAGTTAAACACCAGTGAAATACTGGTCAGTGTAGGGCTAATTGAAGCGTGGCACATCCAGTTCCCAGCTGAGTGAATGTGCTGAGGCCCAGGTGGATTTACTGATATGAAAATCTCCAATCTGGATTTGGGGATTGTGGAACTGGGGAGACCTACACAGGGCAGGACAACAGTAAATGAAACCCCAAGCTGTCCAAACAAGAATGCCTTTATTTAAAAAAGAATCCAAATAAGTTAGCAAAAATAATAACTAAAAAAAATGGCAACTGCACACAGCGTTCAGTAGAAAAGACAGGTGGGCTGCAGGTCAGCACCACCGGACACCGTCTGGAGAGAGACCTTGGTCAAGGAGCATCTGGAAAACTCAGCAAAGCGAACCCAGCACACACATTGGCCCTAAACCTGCCTGTCCCTGGCTGGGCAGTGGAGCAGGGCCTGGCCCTGGGAAGCCCCTCCAGGACCTGTGGCCGCTGCCCCATCCCACCTGTGCCTGTTCTTCTTGCAGCCCAGCAGGAGCGCTCCGCAGGGAATGGGAAGGGAGCCGAGCGGTGTCAGCCGTGCAGCCCACAGCACTGGAGGGGTGTATGTGATTTCCAGCGGCTGGACCCTTCTGGCATCTCATTCCCACCTGTTACCATTTCAAGGAGCCGCCGGGGTTTGCTTCAGCTCAGTTTTGACCCCGCTCCTCCGGGAAAGTCACAGCCACATCTTCTGCGGCAATGCTCTCCACGATGGAGGACAGCGAGTGCAGGTTGTGCTCTTCGGCTGCCTCGTCGGCCAGGAGGTGATCTGGGGAGACAGAGGGGTGAGGACACAGCTGGAAATGGGATCTGTGGGAGCAAGGTGGGAGGACACTGCTGGGAATGGGGATTATGTGCTGGAGATGGCTCCTGGTTCTGCTCAGGGGGATGTAGGCTAGTGGTGACCATGGCTGAGGGTTGGGCTTCATGATCTTTTGCATCCATAACAATTTGTTGATTCTTTTCTATGATTCTATGACCCCCATGATCCTCTACATGGCCAGAGTGACCTAGGGACCTGCTGCCAGCCCCCACCCTGGGCAAGGATGAGAGAGCAACAGGGAGTGGAACTTTTGGATCCTTTATAGTTTTAATCTCCACTGGAAAATGAGATTTAGTTTATGCCTTCTGGGGAAAATAACAGGTGGATTTTGCAGGGGCGGGGATAATGGCAAGCATGGGAAAAAAGATTAGCAGCTGCTGAGGGGGTGTAGGGAGGGAAGGGGGGCTAGGGCAGCCCTGGCCAGCCATGCCCAGCTCTGCCCAGCCATGTCGAACCAAGTATGCCAAGCCAAGGGATGGCAACAGATCAAACCCTTGCTGGGGATGAAGGCACCAAGGCCTCGGGCTGCTGCAGCCCAATTTCTCAGTTCCCAAGGGTTGGTGTTTTGGTGAAATCAGGGCTCGGAGAACCCTGAATTGCTGGGAATTGAGCCAAGGAGATGCTGTAAGATGTCTGAGCTCATCACTCTGCATCAGTGAGATGGGGAGAGAAGGGCAAGGTTCCTTCTGCCCTTTGCTACAAGCGTCTCCTGCCTTGGGAGGGGGTGGCTCAGTGCTGCTGTGCTCCAGGCCAGCGGTGTTCCCGCTGTTACTGCTCCCTGCAGAGCCCAGTGAGGCCCTGGGATGCCCCAGGGAGGTGAGGAGGGCATTACCTGCAGGGTTGGTGCTGAACTCCAGCTGGCTGCTCCACTCGGGGCTGCAGGAGGAGCTGCCGGACCCGCAGTCGCTGGCTGCCTGCAGGAGCCCAGAGCAACCGTCTGTCACCTCCTGTGGCACAGCCCAACCCCACCAGCATCCCCAAAATCACCCGGGGGGCCCATCCCACAGCATGACACCCCTGTGGAGGGGGCCATGTCCCTCCCCACCTGGAGAAGCCAACAGCATGCAGGGTCGCTAGGACCCATCAGGGCTAGATGCTTCCTTAACCATAAAGGCTGGAAAACCTTGTTTTTTTGGAACACTGGTCACAGAGAAATGGGACTCCCCACTCACTGCAGGTAAAAAGGTGTCTCTTTCCCCATTGATTATGAAAAAGGGCTGGAGATGAACAAATGTCCTTGGGCAAACACCTTTTTTACTGAGAATCACTTAATCAGACTCATAAAAAATGATACATGGGCTGGATACCCTCAGGCCATCCTGAGAAGGGGATTGGGAAAAGCTTTTGGCAGTTTGATTTGTGGATTTGCGGCTGAGTGGTTTTGGAGAAAAGAGCTGACAGCATGAAAAATGAGAGCATTATTCAGCAAAGCTCAGAATTCACTTTTTTTGGAGTGTATCTTTATCTGGGAGAGGGTGTCAGCTCAGGTAAAACCCCAAATGTGATCTATATGAGCAGCCCCACAGGCCCAACTCTTTGTACCATATTAGAATGACACTTTGGCTCTACAAGCTCATGGCAGCATGGGATAATAATTAACACTTGGACTTATTTCCCATTAAAGCAGGAAATTCTTTCAGATACAATCTTTTTTCCCCCAAAATATTGGCTTTTGCATCAATATGTGAACCCCTGGCTACACCTGGGAGAAGGGGCAGCTCAGAACAGAAGTGACAAAGGGATAGCTCAGCACAATTTTGGGCACATTTGCAAATCCAAGTGGATTCTGGGAATTGGATATTGGATTTTGGTATCCAAGTGGATTTTAGCATTAAAGTGGATACTGAGAAGTCCCACAAATATGTAGGGTGGAGCCTAAATACTTTTTCATTCCTTTATTCAGCATTAAATTGGACTACCTGGATACTTACTGGTCTGGCCCTTAAATCCCTCAGTATGGAAGGAGATGTGGAATTCCCTCTACTGGGCCTTTGATAAAGTCCTTCCTTATCTATCTGTATCTGTATCTGTATCTGTATCTGTATCTGTATCTGTATCTGTATCTATCTGTATTTACCTGCATCTATATCTATATGGATATCTATCTATCTATCTATCTATCTATCTATCTAATCTCCATATATCTGTATATTTATATCCATATCTATATTACCTGTTTCTGTATCTATATAATCCATATCTACATTATCTATCTCCATAATCTGTATCTATAGATATACCTGTATGCCATTTATATATTATATATCTATAGATAATTTATATAATCTTTATCACTCTCTATATTACCTATACATATTTATATAATCTATCTATTTATATAATCTATCTCTATAATTTGTATCTATCTCTATAGCTATCATATCCATATCAGTTTCATCTCTAATTTATCTATATGAGCCCTAGATCTATAGAACCCATACTATCAATGCCTATACCAATACATACCCCCACATCTATCTATTCCATCTGCATTGATCATCTCTCCCTAGACCTGTAGCTGTAGTTTCAGCTCTCTGTGCATGCACAGATCCAAACCTCAGAGCAGCAGGGAAGCACATATACAGCCGTCCACAGGAACCAGTGGGCAGATGAAAATACTTCTCAAAAACTTGGTTAAATGACCAAACTCTTGTAGAGTGACAGGTCCTGGTTCTCTGGGCGTGGTGGCAAGACACAACTTCTGACTATCCTCAGCCAGTGCCCAAATTGGCCCCTTTGGTCCTAGAAACCAGAGGTGTCCCTGTGCCATCCTTCTCATCCCTTCCTCTGCCTGGGTGTGAACAGGGAGTGTTAATTTATTTTTTATTTTATGCTTTATATCTTTTGTATTTATATTTTTATATTTAGTATTTAATGTAATTGATTGAATATGTTATGTTATGTCATATTTTCATTTAGTTTAGTTCTGTGCTGTTTACTTCATTTCACCATTCCCACCCCTCCTCAGCCCAGGCCCACGTGTCGCTCCCATGCACGGCCCCAGTGCAGCCATTCACAGGAACAGTGGCAGTGGCCTCTTTCCCGCAGGGCTGTGAGCACTCGGCAGGGTTGGATCATTGTCTCTGTGTCCCTGTGCAGGACACACTCACACATCCACCAGTGGCCCGGGATGGCAGTGTCTGCCTTGCCCCAGAGCTGGGGTCCTGTTCCCCCCCAGCAGGACCCAGTGCCCCAGAGCTTCTGCAGCGCCTGTGCTTGGGATTACCCCCACAGGGCATCACCCCCATAGAGCAGTGTCCCCACAGAGAATCACTCCCCTATGGCATCACCCCCACAGGCCTTAACCCTGAAATGGCATCAACCCCTTCAAGCATCATCCCATAGCGCATTGCTCATGTAGAATGGACACCCCAAAATGACATCACCCCCACAGAACATCGTTCTCATATGGCATCAACCTCATAGTGTCACTCCCATAGGGCATAACTTCCATAGGGCATTGTCCCCATAGAACATCTCTGCCATAGAATGGCACCCCAAAATGACCCCACATCAGGCATCACCCCCATATAGCATCACTCCTAAATGGCATCCCCCTATAGAGCATGGTCCCATAGAGTACCACCCCATAGAAAGTCACCTTCATAGGGCATTGTCCCCACAGAGCATCAGTCCCATACGGCCCTTGTCCCATGGCGTGTCACCCCGAAATGGCATCACCCCATAGACCGTCACCCCATATGCATCACCCCCCGGTCGCCACCTCCCGCAGCTGCTCCCAGCCCCGGCTGGGGACCCACGGGGGCACTCACGGCGGGCTGGGGCCGGAGGCGCAGCTCCCGCTGGTCCCGCTCCTGCTGGTTGAGCGAGCTGAGCAGGCTCTGCAGCCGCTCGATGTACTGGATGGCGCTGCGCAGGATCTCCACCTTGGGCAGCCGCTGGTTGGGGTTCAGGAGGGTGCTGCGCTTCAGGGCCTCGAACGCCTCGTTCACCTTCTTCAGGCGCCGCTTCTCGCGCAGCGTGGCGGCGCGCCGCCGGTCCGTGGACACGGATTTCCTCTTGCACAGCTTGCAGGCCCAGGGCAGGCACTGCCCGGGACAGTGCTCGGCCAGCGCCTCCCGGCCCTGCAGAGCCGCCCTGCCCTCGGCGCACAGCGCGGCCCCGGCGCGCTCGGGGAATGCCGCGGGCTCGTAGCCCTGCAGGCGGGAGCCCAGGAAGTTTTCCCCATCGTAAAACCTCTGCTCCGGGAAGAAATACGGGTTGGTCTCGAAGAGCTCCATGGGCGGCTCGGGGACGTGTGCGCGGCTCGGGGACGGCTGCTCCTTCTCCCCGCGCCAACTGCTTGGTGCCATTTAAACCCCAGCGCTGGCATTAAATCACGGCGATAAATATAGAAAACCAAAAGGAAACCTGAGCCCACCCTAAGCTGCTGCCTCGCATCAAAACTTGTCCGTCTGATTCTGTGTGCTCTCCCCACGGGGATTACAGTGCCCGGCCTGGCGGGGCTGGGGGCTGGCAGCTCGGCTGGACCGAACAAGGGCTCTGTGTGAGCCCCGAGGTGCCACCGCGGACGGCGGGCGGCTGCCAGCTCCCCCCGGCATTCCTGCATCATCTGGTCCCTTCAGTTACAGCTGGGCTGGGGGAGCCCTGGAGGCCTCGTGGCCAGTCTGCCTGACCTTGGCACTCCCATCCCTTCACGCTGCCCCCCCTGGATCCCGCAGTATCCCAAATCCGTGCCTCCCCTTTGGTGGGACTCAACACCAGCACAGCATCATCCCCTTTGCAGCCCTTATCACCTCTCGATCCCGCTCTGCCCCATATTCCCCATGGTCCCATCCTGCCGGTCCATGTTACGCTGATCCCACTTCTGCTGAAGCCTCGGGAGAGCCTTGGAATCCAGCCCCGGAAGGGATATCCCAATGCAGGGAGCACCCTGGGCTCCGGTCCCGTCTCTGTGCTCATCCCTCTCTGTGCTCACCCGCCCCGGTCCCAGCTGCTGTGCCTGCTGCCTGTCCCTCAGGAACAGAGCAGGACAGAGCCAAAGTCCAACCTTTCCTCTGCCATGGGTGCCCAGTCAAGTTCCTTATCACACTCGTGTCACAAAATCCACGTTTTTGGCTAGTCCCATGCACCAAACACAAAGGACACCTTCTCCCACATGTCTCCAGGTTCCAGCAGAGCCAGGCTGGGCTCAACTCCCTCCCAGCTGGCACTGCCTCATCCCACCTGCTCTGTTGTGCAGGTGGAATGAAATTCGGCCTGTGTACCTGTGGCTAACCAAAGCCCCAGATGCCATCCTGGTGCACACCTCTCCCAGAAAAGACACATTGCTCATGCATTCCTGATAGGGAAACTGAGGCACACCCAGCAGCAGCAGCATGAGGGTGATTTTAACTCATCCCCCTACTGATTCCAATGGCTTGGCTACATCTCTCCAGCTTTGTCTTTAATTCAGAGGGGATTTTTTCTTCCATCTGGAACATCACAAACCATCTCCCATCTCCTCCTATTCCTGCTCCAGGCCAGATTCCAGCTGAGGGATCGGTCAGTGGAAAGAATGTCAGCAAAGTGCAAGGCCAACCCTGCTGGGATTTTCCTTCTCCAAATTCCCCCTCCTTGGAGAGGCTGTGCTGTGGCACATTCCCTGTGCACACTATCAGCACCCTTACTCACTTGGGATTGATTTCTGGCCTTGTTGGAATCTGTCATGATGCTCTTCTCTCCTTGTTGTGATTTCTTGGCAGCCAGGAGCTTTCCAATACCTCCTCACCCCAATTCCTACTCTCCCCGGGTCCCAGCTCTGTGGATTTGCTGTCCCCATGGTCCCCAGACATCTATGAAAGTCTGCACTAAGGAAAGCAGGACCTGCAGTCTTGAGGTTCACCCTCGGCACAGCCCTTCTGCTCCCCACAGTCAGTCAAACTCCAAAATACCCAAGAAGGAAAGAAATCAGAGCATCAGCTTATCTCTTGCCTAAATAAAAAGCACTAAAAGGGTTGGGAAGAGTCAGGATTCACCCTCAGATATGCAGAGGTGCCCATGACGAGAGTGAAGGCTTTAGGAATGGATAGCCTGAGCCTGAGGTCTTCACATCAGCCCCACACTATCAACTCAATCAGCTTGAGTCACTCATGGGGAACTTTGTCAGCAGCACTTGGTGAACATGACCCCAGTGAGCCTCTGGAGCTGCAGCTGCGTGCCTGGGTGAGAGGTGTCAGGACCCCCCTGGTATAAATGGGCGTTTTGGAACTGCAGGAGCATGTTTGGAGGGCGAGACACAGTGGTGACATAACCACTCCTGGGCAGGTGGCTGACCTGCACAGGAGAGCGTTTGTCAGCTCATAAGCAGGGGCAGCACTGGTGGGGTGGCACCGGCCACATGTCCCCAGCTGGAGAAGTGGCACAAGCCAGCCCCAACCAAGGCCACTGTGCAGCCATGGCTGAGCGAGCAGGGGAGACAGAAGGCAGCTTAAGGAGATGGGGAGGAAAGGGCACTCAGTGCCAGTGTGGGGTGGACACTGGCAAGAGGGATCCCACTGTCAGCTGCACTCGCTCCATTTGGGGGTCTCATCCAGTGATATGGGAGCAGGAATAATGCTGTGCCCACCCAGCTCTGCAGCTCCTTCAGCCTCTCCATGCCATGGATGATCCCTCCTGACCACAGAGGAGGGACACGGTGGGATCTGGGTTTGTAGGTCCAGTGGTCTCATCCCAGTGAATATCAAATCAAGGATAATGAATTCCATTGGGCAAGTAGCCATCATCAAGGCTACTCCTCCAGCTCGTGTCTGGGCTACAGAGAGGCTGCCATCACGGCCACCCCACCCCACAAAGGCGCCTGCTGGGGGATGGGGAGCGTGGCTTTCCCCGGTCCCGTGGGTGCCCACGGCGGCCGAGGCTGCGCCCCGGGTCACTGGGAGCCGAGGGGGGATTAGGGCTCTGCTGCCGGCTGTCAGGTTATGCCGTGATGGATGGTGGCGGCTGGGAGGCAGCACAAAGTGACGCTGTGTGCGCCCCGGCAGAACGTGCTGCGATCCGTCACGGGGTGACCTTTCCCCGGCCGGCGGGGCCTCGCGGGGACGGCTCACCCCGACACAGCTGGCAGGGAGGACAGCCACGAGCCCAGAGCTAAAAATACCCGTCCATTGAGAAAATCCCAGAGAGGAGGGTTTGTCCTTGCTCCTCCAGGGCAGCTTCCCAAGCCAGTGGCCAGGTCCACGGAGCCGGGTCGCAGAGAGGCACCCAGGGGCTGCCTCGGCTGTTTGGCTTTCCCACCACGTCTGATGGTCTGGATTTGCTGAGTTTTGGGGATAGACGTGAGCGTGTTGCAGCCTGGGGACTGTCTCTCCCAGTGCCCAGATCCTTAACCAGTGCATGTCCCTGTTCCCTGCTCAGAGTTGCAGGGAACACAGAGGTTGCACATCCCTGCCTGGGGCATGGAGCTGCGCCGTGCCTAAGCCAGAGAAGCGATGGTGGGGCTGGTGCCAGCCAGCCCCCACCAGAAAGGGCAGAAATACCTGGGTTTACAGGCTGGTGAAGAGATTTGCATGCCCCAAGCAGCATCTACAACCTGGAGTTCCGGGACCATCCCACTGTTGGGGAGAAAGGGGGGAAGCCAGGGCTCAGCAGATATCATCCCTCTGGGATTTCAGGATGGGAAAGGAGATACCAAAATGCGATTTTCTGTCGGACACACCGTCCCACTCCCACTGGGTACCCCACCAGGCACCCCACTGTCCCACATCCCCTCTCGCTTTCCAGGCTCATCGACATCCCTTCCTGCCGCCGTGACAAGTTGTAACATATTTGGGAGCAGCTGCAGGCTGCAGGGAGATGCTTGGCCCTGTCCCCACGCTCGGCCGAGGAATGTGGAGCAGACCTCTCCCCCGACACCCAGGATTTCCGACGTGCCTGCCCGCTGGAGATTTGGGACGGCGACAGCTGCTCGGCCGCGATGAGGCTCGGCAGATCCTCCCCGTTCAGCCCGAGATTTGCACATCCACGTCTCATGCTTCTGGGGATTTGGGGTTAGTTTGGGGTGCAGCCCATGGGGAGCAATGGGGGATGATGTCCTGCTGTCTGTCCTGGCAGGGGTGGCAGCAGTGGTGACAGCACCAGCAGACAATCCCTCCCTCACCTGTAAGTGCCAGCTCATCCAGTTTCAGTTCCCTGGTGGGACGGGGCTGCTCCTGCAGCTCTTGAGTCCCCATGGGGCTCAGTACCCTTGGTGCCCCCTCTCTCCCCAGCATCCTAGGAAATCAGGGATCATGATGGAGGTCTAAAATCTGTCTGGAGAACAGTTTAATTTTTGCTATTAACTGTCTTTGTCGATCCCTCACGTCCCTCCCAGGTCAAACCTACAGAGAGGTGCTGGTGACTAAGTACCCCCCAGTCCACTGGATCCCATTTTGGGGACAATACTGGTTGCCCCAACATAGACAGTGCCAAGCCACTGGGCCCTGTCTATGAATTTCAGTGGGTGACCTGCTGCAAACACCCTGGGTGCCCTGACCCACCAGGATCCCCATCTGGAGACAAAACCAGGTACCCTGACCCATGAGTCTGCTCGTTCCCAGTCCAGGGACCACACTGGGTGCCCTGTCCTCCCTCCTTGCCCACACTGATCAGGGGATGCTCTGCCCCACTGCAGCAGTAAACCTCCTGTGTTTCTGCCCCTCCATGGCCTCTCTTGTTCTGGAACCCCATGGCCTGGACATGACCCTTCCCCTTCACAGTCCCTGGCCCCAGATTACAGCTGGAGGAGAGATTCACCCAGCAGGACCCCCACTAATGAACCCCACAAGGGGGTTTCCCTTCTGGACCCCCCTGACCCCATGCCAGAGGCATCCATGGTTACTCCATCCCCTGCAGGATGCCACCGGCCAGGCTGTCCCCACATGTGTCACCGAGGGAGGAGCAGGGACAACTTGGTTTGTCAACAAGGGGTTGTTTTCCCTTGAGTGGGACACTGGGGCAGGAGCAAGCTGCAGGACAGGTGGGGGTTCAGAGGAAGACCCATGAATGTGAGGGATTCAGCAGTGACATGTGGTGGCTGTTTGACCCCAAGAGGGGACAGCTGTCCGGACAGGGGAGGGTGTGAGGCCCAGGGACCTGGGGACAGCAGTGTCCCTCAGCAGGGGCAGCAGTGTCCCTCAGCAGGGGCAGCCCTGACATGGGATGTGGGAGGGATCTGGGTGGCTGCCAGCCAGGTGTCCTGGGTGGGTGACCATCAGCTTGTCCCTGTGGTGGGCATGTTCCACTTCCTCCATGGCCTGACTGGGGCTCGTGATGCAGGACCAAGGTCTGGTGAAAGGAGGAAAAAAGAGCTTGTGATGCTCAAGTTGAA